GACACGCTTTGGGGTGTGAGCAGGGTTGAACTCCCCTGACAGGGGCTTGCAGGAGTCCCGGGTGGGTCGCTGAGGCAGAAAGCAGATTTTACTGCCTGTAGCCGGTGGGGATGGGCAGCCCTGGCACAGGAGAACTCTAATTTCAAGCAGGGGTCCGAGGGCTGCCTGTGCTCACACTGCTGTCTGTCCTTCCATCCCGAGCTGTGTGCTTCTGCTGCTCTGTGACTTTCTAAAGCCTGCACTATTTCCTAGGTAGGCAACAGCGTCTGAGCTTCCCCTGTGCTGGGAATTGCAGAAATTGATTCCTGCCATTGCCTATTGAAAGAGTCTGGAGGTCAGGAGAGTTTTCAGGCTCATCAGGTTTCTTCCTCCTCTCCAAGGCAGACTCTGGCTTTGTAGCACGTTTGCTGAAGGAAAGCAACTGTTCAAGTCTGGAGGAGAAAAGGGCAGAGCTGACAATCACACAAAATGAAAGCAGGATTTTCCATGCAGACAGAGGGCATGTGATCAGGCCAGTCCAGCCGTGCCAGTGTCCTCCCAGGTGCCAGACACAGACAAGGGGTGTGGGTTTGGGTTTAGGTTTGATTCCTCCTGTGAACGCAGGAATAAGGGCTGGCATGCAGAATACAAGGCTTTCCTTGTAGTGTACCTGTGGCAGCAGCTGCTTGGAAAACTTCATCTCATTTTGAAGTCTGATTAAATTGAGGGGAAGGGAGCTTTCACAGTCTATCTTTTCTCAGAACAGCATCTGAGCAATGGAGCCTAAATCAAATTCAGCAGCTCTGAGCGCCCAGAGACTACGTGGCTCAGCAGTTTGATGTTGGAGGATGCTCAGGGCTGGCTGCATCCCCAAGGACAGTCTGGGCTGAATCCCTCCCAGAGGAGTCACAGATTTAGTCCTGACTGAGCACAGTCATGTGTTTGGAATATTCCTCAGTTGGAAGAAAACTCCTGTAGCTGTTTGTGTCAGAAATCATTGTGGATGTGTTTGGTACCTGTGCTGATATTTCTGCAGTTTGTGGCTCTCCACTAAAGGATGTGCCTGTGCAGGCATCCCCCACCACATGCTCACCTGAGAGAGCACCTTGATGGGAGGATCCAATTTATGATTTACTTTTGGACACAAAAGGGAGAGCTCTCCGTATTTATATAAAACTGATTTATTGTCTATGTGTCAGTGACATCAGCACATTGATCAGAGCAAGAGATGCATTTCCATCAGTTCTGTAATAGAACGAGAGATGTGTGCTTCACAGGCGGCTCAAGCACAATCATAAAAATAGGGTTTATTGTAAGTAATATGTCAGAAATAGAAATTCCCCTCCTGTGATTATTGGTCCTTTTTGCCAGCCTGATCTCACAGGACACTTGCAGCTCCCCTGGTGTACTGCAGGATGGAGACCTGCCAGGGATCTGAAGGAAATCAAATCCTACAAGCTTTGCCAGTTCTCTCCTTTGCTGCATGTGTGCCGAGGAGCAGGAACAATTCCTTCCAGACTGTTTGTGCTGGGCCTTGTCCTGTCTCATCACCAGTGCAGCTGTGTGGCCACAGTCCCTCCTTTTTCCCTGGCTGTTTTCTGAATACAGATGCTTTGCTAGAGCCTCTTGGAGAGGTGATGTGCATGTGCTGTGTTCAGCTTGGCTGCTTCCAAAGGCTCTTGAGGAAGATCAGCTATGGCCTAGGGGAGAACTGTGCATTATGAGAAATTCAGGAGTGATTTGCTCAGCTCTAAATGAAGGTTGTTTCCAATTAGGTTAATGAAGAACATCGTTCTCATGTCCAGAGTCACTTGGTCTGTACAGGGAGATATAAATCACCCGTCCCTGCACACAGACACTCTGAAAAGCACAGGAGAGTGAAGACCATTTCCACTGGGCTGTGAAGCATTGAGCATCCAGGGTGGGGGAGATGAGCCCAGAGCCCCCTTCCACAATTGGCACTGTGTCCTGCTGCCACCATCACCCTGGGGGCTGCCAGCTCAGGGGTGTCCTGGGCTGCTCCAAGCAGCCAGTCCCAGTGTCCAAACAGGGCCAAACACTCCGTGCTGCTGCAGTCACACAAGGCCAGGACTTGCCCAGAGAGTCACCATGCAAGGGCTGATGCTCATCAGCGAAATCTGCGGCTGAAGGAATGACAGTCAGGTGGGATTAGCAGCCTGATCCCATCCCAGGCTGCTCAGTGCTGCAGGCAGCGTTGGCCAGAGGATCCTGCTGGCCAGGAACGTGCCATTGTGTCCTCTGGGGAACTGAAGGAGCTGGGCACTCCTCATCAGCCAGAATTCACTCTCACATCCATGTCTGTCTTGCTTTACAGATGGGAAATGCGTCCAACACCTCAGTGTTCACCTCCACCTTATCAGAGAGAGAAGACCTGATTTTTGGCACTCTCTATTTAGTCTTTGGTAAGGAAAGATGGCCTCTTGATCCCCATGTCCCTGCCCAGCTGCCTGCCAGAGACAGTCAAGCCTTTGTAGTCACTGGTGCTTCCAGAAGTGTCCAGTCATTAGCAGATTAATGAAACTGACCTTCCCATGTTACCCAAAAGCATGGTCTGGTGACTGCATTCCCCTCTCAAGTGAATTTCAAGTGCCTGTCGAATTGAAAAGTGAAATTGAAAACTTGAAATTGAATTTCAAGTGCCTGTATTGAAAAGTCGAATAACCTCTAGGAACTTCTGGTAACTGCTCCCACAGCCACCTGAGGTGAGACAGGCAAGGGCTCCACTGGTACCACCAGCTTCAGGTCCATTGAGGGGGATTTGGAGCTCGAACTGGCCCTTGATTTCAGCAGGAGCTGGAAAAGCTAATCAAGTGTACTTAGCACAGATGTGAGACTTGCTCTGTGGGAAAAAATGCCTTGTGAGGGTGGGAAGAAGGATAAACATCTCAATACTCTGCTCTCCAGTGACTGCAAAGCCTCCAGAGCTCTGGATTTGGCCAGATCCCGTGTGGGAGTTCCCTGAGGGGAGCTTAGTGTTGGCCATTCAGTGGCTTTGGAAGAGGGTTTTTACCATGAGATTTAATTTGCAACCTAATCCATTAGGGAGGAACTCTTATCCTGTTCAACCTGCCCCAAAAGCAGCAAAGATTCCCCTTTTGAGGACACTGAAACCTCTTTTCCATGAAATCACAATTATGTAATGAAAAAGAGAAAGCCCTTATTATAAAACTTAAATCACTACTGTTGATTTAAATACACTAATAGCAAACAAAAAGCCTCCTTTTGTTTAGTCTGGATTTTCCTTGATCTTCATAATGCCTTTCTTCTTGTTTGTTTTGTTACCGTGATATGGGACAGTGCAGACTCACAGGAGTGACATTGCCAGGAGGAAATTAGGAAGGCCGAGGGGCCCAGCTCCCTGGCCCCACATCAGAGGAGCAGTCTCACAGAGCTCTCTCTATTTATCTAGCTGGGAGGAAGTGCCCCTTGCTCCTTCCAGCTGCAGCGAGTGACTGTGGCCAGGCGCTGCACCCGGAGCCCGCTGCAGCCTCATCCCAGCTCTGCCTCCCACCAAACGCCTCTGTAGGATCTCAGGAAGGGCAAGGGATCCAATCCAATGTAAAGGAGCTCCAGATGTGCTCACAGAGCTCTGTGGGTCCCGTGGGCTCCCCTGCTCAGCCCACCCCAGAGAGGGAAGCCTGGAGCTCTCTCCACCTTTCTGCAGTGTTTCCTCCCAAACATCTCAGGATGCTCCTTGTTCCTCTCCTGGCCCTGTCACCCTCAGCACCATTCTCTGCCTCCTCCACAGGCATCATGTCCCTGTCTGGGAACTCCCTGCTGCTGCTGGTGGCCCATCAGAAGAGGTCCCTGCTGAAACCTGCCGAGCTCTTCATCGTCAACCTGGCCATCAGTGACCTGAGCATGACGGTGACGCTCTTCCCCTTGGCCACCTCCTCCTTCTTTGCACACAGGTAGCTCCTGGAGCAGCTCTGCACTGGCCAGTGGCCCGGTTTGCAGACTAACCTGGGAGCCAGGAGATCCCTGGAGGTGCAGAGGGACTCGGGGTGGCACAGGGGCACACGTGAGCTCCCAGCCAGCCATCCCACAGCGCGTGCTTTGCTGCTCCCTGTCCCTCCAGGTCCTCACACAGATCCGCTGCCAAAGGGCTCTGGTGCTGCTGTCCAAGCTGGCACTGCAGGGCTGGGAGCTGCTGTGGGTCAGGGCAGCTCCTGCACCCCCAGCTCCCCCCTGTGCATCTTTGGGGTGCTCAGGGAACAAACCAGGGGCGAGGTCATGCCCACGGGTACTGGCCAGGTGCTGGTACCTGTGCAGCCCGTTGGACCCTCCCCACACGTGCCCAGCTCTGCTGCAGGAATGGGAGCAGCTGCCGGGAAACTCCCACTCAGAGAGGCCTCCAGTGCAGCCGTGGGCAGGGCTGTGGGGAGGGACAGACTCACTGCAGGCTCTCCTTGCAGGTGGCTCTTTGACCAGGCCGTGTGCACGCTCTACGCCTTCTGCGGGGTCCTGTTCGGGCTGAGCAGCCTGGCCAGCCTGACGGTGCTCAGCACGGTCTGCTGCCTCAAGGTCTGCTACCCGGCATATGGTAGGTGCTGGCACGTGTTATCTGATCCTCACTCACACCCCTCTGTTAACAGGGCCCTTTTCCTTTCAACGAGCCAGATCCACCTCTCCAGGGCAACCTATTCCCAGTCAAAATTTAGTCACAGAATCACAGAAACAAGTTCAGGCTGGAAATTATCTATAAGATCATTGAGTCCAGCTGTTACCACAGCACTTCCAAGTCCAGCACGAAACCATGTCCCCAAGTGTCACATCTGTGTGGCTGTATCACAGCAGATTGCAGGTTTTTGAATGTCCACACACAGACTTGAGCTTAGGCTAGAGCAGACTGCAGCTGGGAAGCCACAAGCTCTGGCAGAGCAGCAACAGCTGCTTTCCCTGGTGGGAGAGCCATAGGCTCCTGAAGGAGCGCTGGCCAAGGCAGGGTCTGGGTGGCCTGGGGAGCCATGGCAGGGTCTGGGTGGCCTGGGGGAGCCATGGCATGGCACAGTGGGCACAGGAGCTGCCAGCAGCACTC